AGTGGGCGAGGAGGAGCAGGAGGAGAAGAAGTCAGGCCACTGGAGGAGAAGAAGCCACAGGAGGCTTCGAAGGTGCCCTCAAGAGACGCCCCAAGAGTTCCAAGTAAGCATCCGGGGGGGCCTCTGGCCCGAACTGACCCCCCCGGAGATCTCGACCCCACGATGCCCCCAAGAGGCCCTCCAGAGGCACCCAAGACACAGCAAGAGGCCTCGGCGAGAAGGCTGGCATCACTGATGTTACTAGGTCGTGGCCACAGTTTGGCCTCCTGGGGGGGGGGCAAACTAGGGAGCCCCTCCTCCTTTTGATCGATCTCCTCCAAGATGGCCACAAGATGTCCCCCGAGGATCCCAAGGGTGCCCCAAGGCGGTCTCAAGAGGTACGCGAAGCATTTAGACTTCTTGCCCCGCTCTTTCCCCTGCACAGCAGTCGAGCAATGGCGTCGCACGTTGCCGAAGGTCGGACGGCCAGCAGGGTGCACTCCGGTATGAAAGGTCAGACAGGGTACGTTGACGACACATCCCTTGATTACCCCTGTCGCGACGGAAATGTCCAACCAACCAGATCGGATTGCCAATCTGACAAGCAATCGGCACAGCTGTGGAAAGGGGCTGGCTGGCGAAGTGTTGCGAAAAGTCTCGAACTCCAGGCAGCCCATGCGGACCCCCATCCCTGGCGCGCGGAGCGCGCCAGGGGCGGCGCCGGAGGCGCCGCCAGGGGGTCCCAGCGCCGATTCGAGAAATCCACGCGGACCTCACCTCCGAGTTTGTGTGTGCATGTCATTGCTCGTTCCCCGAAGCTTCGCCCTGCACTCCTGCTTGTGCTCGAGCGCTTCGCCCGCACTCCTGCGTTTGGGGCCGTCGTTTGCCACCCGGGCTGGTCTGCGACGCCTCTCTCTGGCGGCTCTACCGGGTGGCGGACCACCGTGGCGCACTCCGAGCGCCCTCGGGCCTGCCGACGGCCTGCGTCCGCTGGCAAGCGCGTTCCACGACTCGCAAAGGTAACAACTCGCAAGTGGCCGGGATCCGCCATAGGGGGGACTTCCTCGATGCAGACACGCGTTTTGCTCGCAGTCTGCGAGTGGGCACTGTGCGAGCAGTGGAGCGCGCTCGGTGAGACCTGGCGCCGCCGCGAATGCGGAATCGCCCGCGGGTGCCCTCGCAGGGGCAGCGGACATGCACCCATGCCCGCCACAGCGGACAGGAGCCCTGTGCCTCTCCACCCAGCGCCAGGAGAGCCTGCAACGAGAGCAGCCGGTCGCACGGCGGCCTGCGGCTGCCCCCGACGGCGGGCCCCCCGGCACGGCGGGGGCGCCGCGTGCGCCTCCCGAGTTCTCTGGGTCTACCAGCCGCGGCATCTGGCGCCCTGGCGGCCGCATACTCCCGAAGGTCGAGCTCGCCTGGCAATCCCGGTCTCACTCCCGGCACGTCAGCGCCCTCCTCGAGTCATCTGAGGGTGCCCCCGCTTCTCCCGTGAAGTGACACGCTCGGCTGGCCCCCGCAGCTCCTCACTCCCCGCTGGCTGCTGACCCGCGCCGATGCTGCTGATGATTCGCATGCCAGCACTCTTCGGCTCGGCTCTGGCTTGTGATCGAGCCCCCCTATCGGCACTTCGTCTGCACCTCGCAAATTTCGCGCAGGCATCCAGCTTCTGCTCTGGGCTCCGGCGTTCCCTGGCGTCCCATGCGCTTCGTGCAATCCTGATGTCCAACACACCAGCTAGTAGTTGCACCGAGTCCCCGTCGCAATCGCTCTGGACGTAGATCCGCCACCATACCGCTGGGCACGGGGTGAGCGTGTCCTGAGGTCCCTTCTCGAATCCTGTAAGCCTCAGTCCCCACTCATGAGGAATCGTCAAGGGCCTGGACCCCAGATTACCACATCGTCTTTGACTTGGCGCGTGCCCCCTGGGATTCCCGGCATCTCCCCGAGGAGAGGAGGAGGAGGAGGCGGAGGAGGAGGAAGCGGAGGAGGCGGAGGCTGGGGCCCGCGTGACTTTTTGAGGCCCAAGCGCGCCCGAAGACGACAAAGAGCCCAAAAGATGGTCCAAGAGGGAGGGCCCAAGTGGCCGGACGATCGGCCCAAGACGCCCAAGATGGCCCCCAAAGGTGGCCCCCAAAGACGGCCTTTTTAAGACACTCCAAGAGGAGACCCCGGAGCCCTCCCAAGAGTTCCCCGAGAGGCCAGGATCCGTTGTTGTCCATCGGCCTCTCAATGTTGAAGGAGCCCAGGGACACATAGATAAACAGACACAAATCCCAGGATTCCCTATGTTTCCACATATTTCCTGGGTTTTCGTCTTCCCCCCCCACTTCCCATAGTTTCCCATGGTTTCCCTGGGAGTCGACAACTACTTCTGTCTCCACTCTTGTAGGCTCCGCCGCTCCAGGACGTCCCAGGAGGCCCCCGAGGCCGCCGCCAGACGGTCCCCCAGAGGGCCCCAAGGAGGGCCCCAAGGAGCACCCCAAAGAGGGCGCCAAATTGACCCAGGAGGCGCCCGAGACGGCCGAAGAGGGCCCCCAGACGGCCCAAGAGGGGCGAGGGGGAAGAAGAACCGAAAATCCAAGCCTTCGGCCCAAAGAGGCGCCCAGGAGGCCCCAAGAGGCCCCCGAGAAGCCCCAAGAGGCCCCCAGGAGGCCCCCACGAGGCCCCGACGAGGCCCCGAAGAGGCCCCTAAGAGGTCCCAAGAGGCTCATGAACAGCCCCCCAGAGGCCTCAAAACTGCCTCCAGGAAGCCCCCGAGAGGCCTCGACGAGATCCCAACGACCATCGAAGAGGCCTCAGACCCACAACCCAGGCACGGTGGCAGGATGGGCCGAAGGCCATCAGAGTCCGCCGCCCCCTGTCGATTCATCGCAGGGGTGACTGGCGTGCCAAACTATATGGCTTTGGTTTTGGTTCTTTTTCCAAAAGAACTCCCCCTGGGGCTTCGGCCCGTCCCGCCGGCCACCCGGAAGACCCGGTTGCCATCGCCAAAAACGGCCGTTTCGCTCGGGATATCCTCAACAAATCGCGAAGATGGCCCTAGATGGCCTGCAAGATGCCTCCAAGACAGCCAAGATGGCCTCCAAGACGGCTAAGATGGCCCCAAGATGCATCCAAGACGGCCCAAGATGGCCCCAATATGGTCTAAGACGACCCAAAAGGCCAAGAGGCCTCCAAGAGTTCCTCCAGGAAGGCCCGACGAGGCCAAAATCATTGATGTTCCGTAGGTGGTTGAAGGATTTTGACAGTTGCGCCTTTTCGGCTTTCCGACGGCCCGTGACGGCCCCAGAGGCCGCCAAGGTCGCCCCAATTTCGCCCAAGAGCCCCCCAAGATAGCCCCATGACGGCCCAAGAGGCCCCCAAGACGGCCCCAAGAGGGCCCCAAGACGGCCCAAGAGGCCTCGAAGACGCCCAGATGGCCTCCAAGACGCCCAAGATGGCCTCCAAGACGGCCCCGAAGCGCCCCGAGAGGGCCCCCAGTCGGCCCAGAAAGGCCCCCAAGACGGCTCCCGACGGCGTCAGACGTGCCAGGAACGCACCAAGATGGCCGAAGCTGGCTCGAAGCTGGCCCACGACGGCCCAAGAGGCCCCCAAGAGTACCTTCAGGAAGGCCAGAAGAGGCCCAAAACCTTGATTTCCCTGAGGTGTTGGACGGATTTTGACATTTCCTTCTTTTCGGCCTTCCGACGGCCCGAGACGGCCCAAGAGCCCCCAAAGATCGCCGTGGCCCCAGAACGGCCCAAGAGGGCCCCTAGACGGCCCCAAGAGGCCCCCAAGACGGCACAGGAGGCCTTTATGGCGCCCAAGATGGCCTCCAAGACGGCCCTGGAGCATTCCAAGAGGCCCCCCAAAGGCCGTTTCGCTCGAGATATCCTCAACAAATCGCGAAGATGGCCCAAGATGGTCTGCAAGATGCCTCCAAGACAGCCAAGATGGCCTCCAAGACGGCTAAGATGGCCCCAAGATGCATCCAAGACGGTCCAAGATGGTCCCAATCTGGTCTAAGATGGCCAAGATGGCCCGCAAGAGGCCTCCAAGACGGCCCGAGAGGCCTCCAAGAGTCCCTCCAGGAAGGCCCGACGAGGCCAAAATCATTGATGTTCCGTATGGTTTTGAAGGATTTTGACAGTTGCGCCTTTTCGGCTTTCCGACGGCCCGTGACGGCCCCAGAGGCCGCCAAGGTCGCCCCAATTTCGCCCAAAAGGCCTCCAAGATGACGGCCCAAGAGGCCCCCAAGACGGCCCCACGAGGGCCCCAAGACGGCCCAAGAGGCCTCGAAGATGCCCAAGATGGCCTCTAAGACGGCCCTGGAGCACCCCAAGGCGGCCCCAAATCGGTCCAGAAAGGCCCCCGAAACGGCTTCCGACGGCGTCAGACGGGCCAGGAGCCCACCAAGATGGCCGAAGGTGGCTCGCAGCTGGCCCAAGACGGCCCAAGAGGCCGCCAAGAGGGCCTCAAGGAAGGCCAGAAAAGGCCAAAAAGAGTGATTTCCGTTCAAGGATGTTGACATTTGCTTCGTTTCGGCCCTCCGACGGCCCGATACGGCCCAAGAGCTCCCAAAGATCGCCCAAGGATCGCCCAAGAGGCCTCCAAGATGGCCCCAGAACGGCCCAAGAGGCGCCCAAGACGGCCCCCAAGAGGCCCCCAAGACGGCCCAAGAGGCCTCCAAGACGCTCAAGACGGCCTCCAAGACGGCCCACGAGCACTCCAAGACGTCCTCCAAGAAGGCCCGAAAGAGTCAAAATGGCCTCCAGGCGGCCAAGATGACCTTCAAGATGCCCACGTGTTCCCCGAAGGCTTTCCAAACCAATTCGGGGAACACATGGTCCGATAGCTTGGCAGGTCTGGCCTCAATGTTCAGCCACATAGGCGCTTCCACAAAGGCAGGGGGCGGCGGTGATTCGCCGAATGCGTCTTCGATACATCGCAAATGATCTAGTTTGCAGAATGCGTTCTTCCGCAACACCTCAGCAACGCCACGTTCCACGAACAGCGATCCATCTCGCGCAAGTACTTCATGCGCTGCGTAAACTCATCGCACGGCGCTGACCGCTCAGACAACTTCGAGACTTTGCTCATCATGGCACCACGCTCTTGCGGCCCCGATCGGGGCGCTCGCGAATTCGAAACGTGGCGCTAGTCTTACTCCCCGCGCTCTCCTCACGCTTACCTTCTGGCTGTTTTCTGGACGGCTGCATCATGCCTCCAATAGGGTCCAAAGAAACGCTCAATCGGCACCGCCGCTGTCCCATGGCTGGGTCGTCCCGCAACCTTTGCCGCGCGCTGCCTTCTCCTAGACCACCCGTCCTCCACCAACTCTCCAGATAGCCCAAGTCGGTCCAACCCACCGGCGCGTGGTGAAGAGCAACGTCCTGCTCGACCGCTGGAACGAAGCCACCGCCCCGGTTCGCGCCTCGGCTTGGCCTCCCCGACGGCCTGCGACTCCACTGCCGCCTCGGCGCCTGGAGCGCCCTCTCGAAACACAGCACCAAACCATGTTGGGCTTGTTTTTCCACCACCACCACCACCATGAGTTGGATGGGGAATGGGTCCTCCTCCTCCTCCTCCTCCTCCTCCTCTTCCTCCTCCTCTTCCTCATCCTCCACCTCATTCCCCTCTCCAACTTATGGTGGTGGTTGTGGAAAACATGCCCATCAAAGCCAGGCCCTAGCCTGCAGGGCCTTCCAGCCCCGACAGATCCTGCCCTCCTCTCTCCTGCGCCTGCAACCCCCGCGTGCACCCGCGCCTCGTGCGCCTGCCAGCCCCTCCCGCTTCCTTCCTCGGCGGCCACTCGGGATCCTGCAGCCTCCAGCTGCAAACACCGTCCAGCAGCCCAACCAGCTTCCTGGTCGCGTTTCCCCGGGTCCGGCTATCACGGGCAAGTCCTGAATCCTATGGCGTCTGAATTTCGGCCAACCCAGGATGCGCGCTCGCACGTGCCCAGGCTTACCCCGCGCAGTCGTGGTCTGAGAATAACAAGTCCTGATCCACAAATCACGGTATGCGCACCCCCGAAAGTAAACACACAAACAAACAAATCCGAATCGGTCCAGCAATCGCATCATGGTATACAGGGCTTTTCGATGACAAATGCTCGATATGTCCTCTCGACAAGTGCCTTCATCAAAACACGGTGGCACGCATGGCTGTCACACACGTGGCGCCACGTATACTGGTACGGCACAAGCAGGTGCGATGCAAACACTGATACATGTCACCGCAGCCTGCTACGTCTGACAACAAAACGATCATCAACACCATCAGCATTACCATCCCTCTCCCTACTCCCCCTCCTCCTCCTCCGCCGCCGCCTCCTTCTCCTCCGAATCCACTTCCTCATCGTGCTCCTCCTCCTCCTCCTCCTCCTCCTCCTCCTCCTCCTCCTCCTCCTCCTCCTCCTCCTCCTCCCCCTGCTCATCCCCTCCTGCTCCTCCTGCTACTCCTCCTCGTCCTCCTCCTCGTGCTCCTCCTCCTCCTCCTCATCATCATCAATCATCAACCAGCAGCAGCAGCATCATCGTCATCATCATCATCATCATCAGCATCATCAGCATCATCAACATCATCATCATCATCATCATCATCATCAGCAGCATCATCATTCACCATCATCAACAACAGCATCAGCATCAACATCAGCATCAGCATCAGCATTGGCATCATCAGCATCATCATCACCATCATCATCAGCATCATTAGCAGCAGCATCAGCAGCAGCATCATCAGCATCATCATCATCAGCAGCAGCATAATCATCATGACCATCAGCATCATCATCATCATCATCATCATCATCATCATCATCATCATCATCATCAGCATCAGCATCAGCATCATCATCATCACCATCATCATCATCCTCATCCTCATCCTCACCCGACTCCTCCTCATCATCCTTCCTGTCAGCGCGCCTCATCCTTCTCCTCTTCCTCCTCATCCTCCTCATCCTCCTCATCCCCTCCTCCTCATTCTCCTTGCCACCATTTCCCATATGCCTCATCCGCCTCCTCCTCCTCCTCCTCCTCCTCTCCTCCTCCTCCTCCTCCTCCTCCTCCTCCTCCCCTTCCTCATCCTCCATTCCTTTTTCTTATAGATAAGTCCTCCCTGCCGCACCCCGAGGCCGGTCGAAATGGCGGGCCGGGCGTTTCGCCTTCGACTTCCTCACCGCTGATGACCCTGATGGTCAAACATTGACAAAAGTTTCACATATGGAGGGCGGGTGGTTTTCAAAATGCGGCTCTCGCCTGAGAGCCACGCACATTTGCAAGAGTTGCACATATTGAGGGCGGGTCGTTCTTAATATGTGGTTCTCGCCTGAGCGCCACGCACACTCGTCTGAAATTCTGCAAGAGCTTCACGGATTGAGGGCGGGTCGTTTTCAAAATGTGGCTCTCGCCTTAGCGCCGCGCACAAGTTTGTGAGGAGCTTCACGGACTGAGGGCGGGTGGTGTTCAAAATGTGGCTCTCGCATTAGCACCGCGCACATTCGTTTCAAACATTCGCAAGGAGTCTCACTGATTCTCATGGTTATCATACCAGAAACGGCGTTTCGGAACGATTCAGGATTGTCAGGGCGCAACAGTTACGTTGATTCGCAGAGTTGAAGTCCCGAAAACGGTGTTCGGGCACGATTCAGGATCGCGAAGACGCAACAGTCAGGTTAACTCGTGGCGCTGAAGTCCTGAGAATGGTGTTTTGCACGCTTCAAGATGTTCACACAATTGTCCCCCCAACGGGACAGATGACCACTTGTAGGGGCCTATGATGACGGATATTGGAAGAAGGGTGTATTTCAACATCGTTGATGAGTCTTGGGTTTACACTGGTCCTCCTCCATCTCCTCCTCCTCCACCTCCTCCTCCTCCTACATGCACCCCGTTTCTGCCCTCCGCCGCGCAAGAAGGGGCGGGGACATGGTGCACCCACCCCACGAACCCGCCTCTATCTCCAGCGATTCGTCCGACTGCAGCCGCTGCATGATCGCGCGGGCGTTGCCGCGCTTGCCTCGAATCGAGAGGCGCTGCAAGAGGAGGCCCAACGTAGACTTCAGACACATCAACGACGCGGCAACACCGCTTCCCGTCCCAAGTGAGGACAGCATAGCCCACTCCCACACCCAGCCAGGATCCCCACTCCGACCTGGTGATTCAGAGGGTGGTTTTCTGGCCCCCGAAAACTCCCAAGAGCCACTCCCACCCCTCGCCAGGACCTCCTTGGTCACCAGGTCGGGGAGTGGGGGTCCTGGCTGGAGGGCGGTTGAGTTGCGCTGCCCTCACCAAGTCAATTTTCCCTACGGGGAGCGCGGCCTTGGAGACGAGCGCCACAGGGGCCTGCCGTCCACAAGGACCTCCCATCCTTAAATACCAGCCGCCCCCCCCCATCTCTCGGGAGCGCGCTTCGGACTTCCAACCTGCCAACACGCCTAAGGATAGTCTCAGGAGCCAGTGCTGAGGCTCTCTTTGGGTCTCCTGGGCCGTCTTGGATGCCACGGAGGCCAGCCCGAGATGCCAACAAGTGGTGACTTTCACATGCTCTTAGGTCGGGCATGCCCCCCTACAGGCGGATTTTGGACGATAAATTAAACATACCCCAAAAATGCATAAAAATAGCCCAAAAATACGATTTTAAAAAAATCCCCAGACTACTGTTTGACTATTTTTGAATACTCCCCCTGTAGAGGGACACGCCCGACTTAAACATACTCGTCTCTTCGGTCTCAGCAACGCCCAAGACGACAAGGAGGCCCCCACGACCCGCTCCCGAGGGCCCCCGCGGGTGGCCCACGGGGGGAACTTGACGTCACACCGAAGCCCTCCGCCCCGGGTTGGGCCTCGAGGCTGTGCCAGGAGGCCCCCGGAAGCCCCCCCCCCCCACAGGGTGCTCGGGAGGCCCCCCGGGAGGCTCCCGAGGGGCCTCCGCGGGGCTCGCAAGAAAAGAAGCCCCACTGAAGGCCTCAGAGGCGTCCAGGGACGGGCCCTCGGGGATCTCAGATCTCCTGACCCGGGTCAGTCCGGACCCGGGTCAAGCAAGCCTTGCAGAATCCTGCAAGATCCTGCGCCCAAACCCGGGTCAAAGGATCCTGCAGGATCCTGCAGCCAAACCCAGGTCAATGCGACCCTGTCCCTGCAGGATCCTGCAAGATCCGGCGCTCTGGCTGACCCCGTTTGCACTGACCCCCGCCTCAAGGCTCCCGAGGCCCAAGGCCACTAGCTATATCCGGGATGCCACAGGGGTGCAGTCTCGAAGGGAAGCCCGGTGGCCTTCGGCCCGACCCGCCAGCCACCTGGAAGGCCGCGTCACGCCCACGGGAGCCCGCCATGCCCGGAAAGCCCGCATCCCGCACAGCCACGGTGGCGCTAGGTGGCTCCCGAGACAGCTCGGGGGCGCGCAAACATGGATTAGCTGTCCATGGGTTTGGCGCGCGGTCGCCAAATCCATGGATCGGGGGAAGTGCCCTCCCCCGAATGCGGCCGGGGCCGCCTCCTTCGGCGGCGGAAATCCGCGATTTCCCATGGAAACGGGACCCGTCGCAAATCCACGCCCCCTTGATCCACGTTTGCGATCGCCTGAAACATGTGCTTGAGCCTTCGGGCTTAGGTCGGGCCTGTCCCCCTACAGGCCGATTTTGACGAAAAGATAAAAAGTACCCAACTAATATTTAACAAATACCAAAAAAGGATCCACAAATCGTCCCCAGTCTATGTTCTTACTATGTTTGAATATTCCCCCTGTAGAGGGACACGCCCGACTTAACAGAAGGTGTAAAGCCAGCCGCGGGAGCGGCAGCCATCACTGGCCCTCAGGGAGCCCGCCAGGCAAAGGAATGCGCCAATTCCACTCACGAAAGAAAGAAGGACATCCAAGACAGACCAAGCAGGCAGGGGAATCAATATGCCCTGGTATTCTCGCGTCGCGAGAGAGAACGCAACACGAGGGTGTTTGGCGATTTCTGGTCTCTGGGGGCCCTTGCAGGGAAGGAGGACCGTGAACAAAGCATGAGTGAGTGAAAAGCGGGTCCCCAAAGAAAGGTCCAGACTTCTGGGGAGCCACGGTGTAAACAAAAACATCATGTCGGACGTCTGGGAAGGAGGAGGGCGTGATCCAGGCTCGGCTCGAGCTTTTCCAGGAGGGGCAAGCCCCTAGTCAAGATTGGGGGGGGCTCCTTCTTTCCTGGTCTGCGTGGGGTCCCGTGCCTTAAACATCACCTGAGCCCCAGGAGGCGCAGCAGTCAAAGCCCGCCGAAGCCTCCCCCTGTCCCGCTGAACAGCGGTCATGGACCCCAGGGCCGGGGCCTTCCCCGGGACCGGCTGCTTCTCGTCCCGAATCGGTTTTGGACGCTCCCAATGCCCCGGGAGGGCCCTGGGAAGCCGAAAGCAGCCCAAACTAGGAGGACAGGACATGAGCACCAACACCAACATAGCGGGTTGCCTCAACTGGGGAAAGATGATCCTGGATGGTGGTGCCCGAATACTACCACCATCGCCGAGATCGGAATCATCCTCCCTCGGTTTATTCACATTGCCGAGATTGCTGTCGGTATCACCCTCCAGGTCTCCGACAAGCCCTTCCAGACCCCTTTCCTCCAGGCCCCCTTTCCTTCGGGAGACCTGATGACTTGATTTTCTCATCCATACTGAGCATCGTTTATCCGATCCCCATCCCCAGCGGCGTGGACATCTACTGGATCCCCAGCGGCGTTTATCCGATCCCCATCCCCATACTGGACAGGGCCCCACTGGCCGATCTACCCCCCCTAGATGGGGATATAGGTCGTTCCCTTCGGGTTTCGAGGGGTGTATCCCCAACTGGGGATGTAATTTGGTGGGGGTCTCGAAGGGGATGGGGGTGGGGATGGGGAGGGGATCGGTTAAACGATACTGACATACGGGGTCCCCGAACATCCAGACCCGCTCCCCGGGGCCGGCACTCCATCCCAAGCGCCGCGCTCTGGCGGTCCCGGGCCACGGCGAGGGCCCTCCTGGAGGCCAGAACAGCGGAGAAGACTTCCACGTCGTGCGCTCCATGAGCTAGGAAGCATCTGACGGGGAAAATGAATCTGACGCTCATCGGAATGTGTGGGTGATCCGCGATTGGATTAGCCTCACCAGTCTGATGATCCTCCCCTCCTCCTCCCCTTCCTCCTCCTCCTCCTCCTCCTCCTTCTCCCCCTCGTCCTCCCCCTCCCTTTCCTCCTCCTCCTCTTCCCCCTCCTCCTCCTCCTCCTCCTCCTCCTCCTTCTCCTCCGCTTCGCTTACTCCTCCTCCTCCTCCTCCTCCTCCTCCTCCTCCTCGTCCTCGTCCTCGTCCTCCTCCTCCTCCTCCTGCTCGTCATCCTCCTAGCCCTTCTGCCCTCGAGTGTTGCAAGGACGTTATTCAGAAGGGCACGGGTCTTTGCGAGCCAAGGCTTTCGGGGTTTCCCCCAGTTTTCTTCACAACGATGTGCAGCAAGGCGCCATGGTGGCGCCCAGTGGCGGGCGGACAGTGTTCCTTGGCAGCAGCAGCAGCAGCAGCAACAGCAACAGCAGCTCCTTCAGCAGCGGCAACATCAGTATGGAGGGGTTGCAGGCACACACTTTTCACATGCAGGAGCAAAGTACTCGCGTGGGCATTGCGGCGAATACAAAAAACAAACCTGCGTGAATGGAAGAACTGCTCGCCACTGCAATCCGATCCCCGCTACACCATTCCGTGAGGCCCATCAGGTGCATGGGTTTTGTCGAGGATTCTAAGTTAATGGAATTGGAATGTGCTGGCTGGTCCTCAACCTTTTGGCGGTGGTCACACTTTGCGCCCAGGTCCTCTCTTCTTTCACCAGGGTGGACGTCCAGAGCAGCAAGCAGGTCAGTCTTCCATTGATGTGCCAGACAACTAGGGCGAGATCGCGCAGCTCACGTTGTTCATTGAGTCGTTGCGGACTACTAGTGACGCTGAGGGGGTCGGCAAGTACCCATTCAAGCTCGACACCAGGAAGGCCGAGTTGGCTGCTTCCCGACAGGCCCCTCCACTTCAGCAACAAACCAACCGCGCTTTTCACGACACGCGTACCCTGGAAAGTAAGTTGGCTCAGGTTGCTGATCGCTGCGAGGCGGCTGAGACTCAGCTTCGAGATTATCAAGTACGAGCTGTTCAACGCTCTCGCAGGATCTCGAGGCGGCCGAAGTCAGGCACAAGTTCCTCGACCACAAATTGAGCGCCCATGTCAAGGGCCCTCCTGGGCAAGCAGCGGTCCTCTCTTTGCCGTCCAGCGGTGATAGTCCGGCGGGCAAAAAAGTGCCAGTCAACCAGGACGAGTACGAGATGTCCGCGAAAGAACAGCAAGGGGGCGGCCGCTCTTCAAAACGGGATTCGACAGGCTGTGACCACGCTTATTTCGGAGGCCAAGGCGCAGGCCGACAAGTTCCACGACGCGCAGGAGAAGTTGGCAGAGCGCATGGCAGCGAAGAGTCGCGAAGAACCAGTTGAACAGAGCAGCGCACCGCCTGCAACGACGGCTGCGGCTGCGGCTTCGGCGACTTCGGCGACTGGTGCTGCTGGCAGCGGAGGCGACGTCGGTCAAGGTGATGCCGCAGGTGGGACGCCTGCCGCGGGCCCTAAGTCTTCGGCGGGAGCAGCGTCCGCTGAGGGCGCCAAGGAGGAAGCTAAGAGGAGACCCCAGCACTCGCTACGATAGCAGCCTATGTCCTCCCACGTTTGTCGGCAGTGGCCCTCGGCGGCACGGTCGCCCCTCAGCAGGGCCTGCTCCGATCACGAACGAACATCCCAGCGCAGAGCCTGTGTGCGAGCCCAGCTTCTGCCGCCAGCCGCAAATCGAACGTTCGGGCGCGGGGCTTCGCGCCCCCCCCCACCCCCCCTCGCGCACTCTCCCGGGAACGTCTACGGGCGCCGGGCCCCAGCCATTCGCCCAGATCGGTTTGGGATCGTGACTGGTCAGGATCATGGGTTCATCCTCGCGATGTTGGGCCTGAGTGACATTCCGCCGTTTCTGCGAGGCGTCGCCGTCTCTGC